TAGTGATGCCGTTGCTGAAGTACAAGCTCGCATCGTATGCAGCGCCGGTACGAGATCTCTTTTGGACAAATCTACCTGGCCAGACCTACAATGAACGAGTCCGATGGTAGTGCAGCAGAGATGATGCCTCAAGAAGCGCGACTTCGCAACCTCACGTGAGTCGAGGCGGATCCAGCAGCGCCTCACGCTTCTTCTGGACTTCCCTCACTGATACGCGCCACATCCCGCTTCGCGTGATTCCCGGACAGATACTCTGCTCCCATGTTCATGGACATGCGTCAGCGAAAGCTGGTCCAACATCCCACTCGGCTTGATCGTGCTACAGGAGATCCACTTTGGATCCCAGAAGATGACGAAGACCCAGATGAGCCTCTGGCAGCCCAGAAGATCTTCATCGGAAAGGTAAGCTCGACCAAGTCTCCTCGCACTCTGCATCGTCACTGATTTGTGTCCCTCTGTCTTCACCAGGTGCCGATCATGCTCAAATCCAAGTATTGTTGGTTGCGCAATGTGGACGAGACTCAGTCATACCAGATGAAGGAGTGTCCACTGGACTCAGGTGGCTACTTCGTCATAAACGGCTCCGAGAAGGTTCTCATCGCGCAAGAGCGCATGGCTGCCAATCACGTCTATGTCTTCACGAAACCTGCGCCTTCGGCTTTCAGTCATCTGGCGGAGATCCGCAGTGCAGTGGAGAAGGGTGGCAAGATCATTAGTTCGATGCAGATAAAGCTGTTCGCTCGCGGCAAAGACAAAGGGACGCAAAACGCGATCCGCGCTACGCTCCCCTACATCAAGGAAGACATTCCGATCGTCATCGTGTTCCGCGCCCTTGGAATTTTGCCCGACCGGGATATCATGCAGCATATTTGTTACGACGAGGGAGACGCGGCCATGCTGGAGATGCTCAAGCCCTGTATCGAAGAAGCTTTCGCCGTGCAGGACAAGGAATCAGCGCTCACCTTCATTGGCAGACGCAATGGTAACGCAAAGACGGACAAAGCCGACAAGGAAAAACCAAAAGCAGACAGATTCATGGCGCCCGCCAAGGCGCAGCAATTTGCAACGGACGTTCTGCAGAAGGAAATGCTGCCACACATCTCAGTAGAGAGTGGGGCCGAAACAAAGAAGGCTTACTTCTTCGGCTACATGGTCCACCGTCTTTTGCTCGCCGCCTTGGAGCGCAGAGAAATCGACGATCGTGACCACTTCGGCAAGAAGCGACTCGATCTTGCTGGTCCTCT